ATGGACGCTCCGAACAGCTGGGGTCGGGCGTTGCTGGCAAACGCTGATTAAGATAAACGAGGTGATTCTCTGACCCCGGGCCCGGCGGTCTATTGTGACCCTGGCAGACATGTGGGCTCCACAGCTGTCCCTCATTTGTGTATGAAACAAGCGCATCGGTGGCATTTTTTGGTTGCCATGGTTACAGGAGTACTCTCCATGTGACGCGGCATCCTTCTCTGGGAAAGGTTTTTGTGGCAGATATCTGGGCGGCCTGGGAGCAGAGGACAACTACTTAAAGTTTTGGGGGGATGAACCGGTTGTTTTCTGGAGCCACACCCCGGCCCCCCACCAAGTGGCTCCCAGGAAAAGGCAGTCCCAGCCTTCAGCTGATGACGTGCAGGGAGGCCTTTCCAACAGCACCCACCTCGCCAGGAGGGCGTCCCTCAATACGCGTCTCAGGATACCTGCTCCTCTGCCCGGCCCGCGTGGCTCAGTGACTGAGCATCGACCTAGGAACCAGGAGGTCACGGTTTGACTCCCGGTCAGGGCACATGCCCGGGTTGTGGGCTCGGTCCCCAGTGTGGGGCACGCAGGAGGCAGCCGATCCATGATTCTCTCTCATCATCGATGTTTCTCCCTTCCTCTCCCTCTCCCTTCCTCTCTGAAATCAATGAAAATACATAGAGCTGCTCCCCCGCCACAGCCGCCCAGTGTGGGGCCATGATCACAGTCCCCAGAGTCACACAGGAGAAAGGACAGCGCCTGTGCCTGTGCCCCGGAGGCAAGCCAGCACCGCACCGGGGACAGGAGAGAAAGTAGCAGGGAGGTGGCGTCACTGCTTCCCTGCCCGGAACCCTCCCGCAGAGGGTCAGTCCCACAGGCCGCAGCCTCGTCCTGAGAGGCCCAGGACACAGACGGAGCCTCCGTGGACTCGGCGCCCAGCACAGAACCACGGGCGGGGCCGCTAGCGGGGTCCCTCTGCTCCTCCTCCCCCTGGTGATGTCCTGCCAGTGAGGACGACGGGAGGTTTAACCCCGGAGGACCCGTTCCTTAGCTTCGCTGTGTCCTACGGGGACAGCCTGATCCTGGATCCCAGCCGACCTCACCACGTGCTCATACACCCTGGGAGGCCAGGTGAGACCCATGGGTCCTTCACAGAGAAAAACACCAAGTACAAGGGCAGGTGCTGGCGAGACGTTCCCCGGGCACCAGGGGCAGCCCTGACAGAACCCAAGCCGCGTGGGGATTTCCCAGTGGCTTCACCCTCAGGATGAGCAGGGATGAGAGAGGCGCTCCATGCAAACGAGGTGCTTTTGTAGATGAGAAAACCCTGCCAGGGCTCCCAGGTCCCGTCCCCGCCACCATGTTCCTGACACAGGGCGCAGTCACAGTAGGAGGAGAATGATGTCCAGCATCCTTGTCCCCTTCCAGCTGCCGGGACATCCCACACACTCACACACCTTAACTCCTCGGATCCTCCCCATGACTTTCATACCCATTCTACAGCTCAGCAAACCAAGGCAGGAAGCCATGCGGCCAGGAGCCCGGTGTCACACAGCTGGTGCGTGTCCTCTGAGCATCTGTCAAGTGAATGAATGTTTGAGAGGAGAGGGTGGTTTATGCACATCTCAGGGACCGGCAGACCCGCTCTGGGCGGGGCACCCCGAGGAACCGGCTCTGAGACGGGGCAGATGGTGCCTCGGAGCTGGTCAGCGGCGAAGCAGGGAAGTGAATGCGGGTCTTTCTGACGCTGCACCTGCACCGTTAGAGCCCAGGCTAGGTTTCTTCCCCGTAACTGCAGCCATAAAACCAAAGGATTGGCCTAGACTGGCTCTCACGGCCCATCCGGCTCTAAAACGTCTGTAATTCGTCATTAACGTGAGGCTACGGGAAAGCAAGCAGGATGGACTTTCCTTTTTTGTTACTTTCAATCTTGAAATATAGTTTGGGGTTTTTATTTACCCAGTCGTCCCTGAATTATCCATTGAAATTGTATTGGAATTACTAACAGCGTTTTTAAAATTGTATATAAGGCAAATACGTTTAAATGGGTGAAAACTGCACACTTAACGGTGCCCTTCTCCATCGCCATCGCACTGCACATTATACCACCATTGCCTAAATTTAGGTGGTTTCTTAAAAATTAAAAAGACAAGTAGAATGACTGATCATGAGGAAAGCTGCTGACTCTTACGACGTGTATGGAATGGCTTTACACGAGCCTGGAGCCACGGCCACACTACAAACACCTGAGATTCGCTTCCAAAGACTTTTGCTTTAAGGGGGTCCTGACGGGCAGGTGAGGCGCCAGCCAGTGTGAGCCCGGCCCCAGGTCACAGACAGCGGCCTGGATCACAGGGCAGAACCAGGCAGGGCTCAGTCGGGAAGAATTAGTTCCCAAACCGTCTCGCTTTGGCCTGGAGGGAGGGAGGGAGCCTGAGCATCCCCCTCTGTAAAATGGGGGAAATAACCTGGAACCCGCCTGGCGGAATCCCAGGGCTCCCATGAGGCCCGCACACAGCCCTCTGCACAGTTCCAACCGCAGTGGTTGCTCGACAAACCGTGGGGATGAGCACAAGCGGCGTTTCCCTGTGGAATCGGAATTTCTTAATATGCTCTCATTGATTTTTTGGAGAGAGGGGGAGGGAGAGGGAGAGAGGGAGAAACATCAGTGATGAGAATCATGGATCAGCTGCCTCCTGCACGCCCCCTACTGGGGATCGAGCTCATAGCCCAGGCTGTACCCTGACTGGGAATTAAACCACCACCTCCTGGTTCATAAGTCGATGCTCAACCCCTGAGGTGCGCATAGACTCCGGCAGGTAAGGATTATCCCCACTTTGAGGATGAGGAGAAACGAGAGACAGGAATCCGCCCAGCATCTCGCCACTACTCTGTGCGCCAGGCCAGGGCCTCGCTGACCTTCACTTCCCGCCTCTCCTCGGCCTGTGTTCCCAGCTCAGGGCTGCTTATTCCCATCGCGGGCATTCAGCACCACCGCCAGTTCCTGGGGAAACTGCAACACTCCGCCCGGGCCCCCAGAAGGGCCTCGCACACGGGACACGCCCGTAGCAAGTACCCAGCGGCCTGGAGCCCAGAGGGGTTTCCACATCTTGCGTCTCCCAGGCGCCGCCTGCTGCTTCTGCGCCACTTTCTCGGGTATTTCCTACAGCGCTCGGCAGACACGAGCAGGTCGTAACCTGCGTCAGATGCAGAGACACCGCTGCCATATTCACAGAGGCTGACGCAGGGAGTCGAGCTCATCTGGGGATGCCTTTATGAGGTGAATGCCAAGGAAGTGTGATTCATCAGAAAGTACTCATTAGAGGCATGTAGACCAGCAGTGCTGTTAGGAGGGGCTGTGGGGGGTGAGGAATGTGGGTGGTGGGACTTCTGGCCCAGGGGAGCTACCAGACTCCTGGGGGAGAGAGGATGGGTAGGGGGGCGGGGAGAATGAAGTGATGGTCGGTGGGAATGCCCAACAGAACAGGAAACACAGTTTTGGACTATGCAGGCCTGGGTTTGAATTTCACTTTTTTTAAAAAAAATTTTCTTGTTGTTAATCCTCACCCAAGGATATTTTTTCCATTGATTTTGAGAGAGTGGAAGGGAGGGGCGGAGGGAGAGAGAGAAACACTGATGAGAGAGAGACATCGATTGGTTGCCTCCCACACACACCCCGGCCGGGTGCCGGGGATGGAACCTGCCACCCAGGTAGGTGCCCTTGGCCAGGTCTCGGACCCCGACCTTCCAGTCCTCAAGCTGACGCTCTATCCGCTGAGCCACACGGGCCAGGGCTACTTCACCTTTTATTTTCTGCTTTTCGTTGTCTCCCCTCCCCCCAGCCCCGTCATACATTTTCCTTTGGTTGGAGAGGAACCCCCTCCCCGCCCCCAATGAAGACACAGGCTGGCTGACAGCACGCCCGTTTGCCCACAGGTGACAGGTGTCCACGGTATGAACACCGGCCTGGGGCCGTCTCAGAGCTCCCCTCCCACATGGCCCGCAGGTGCCTCGCATGTGGTGTTGCTCTTGTTCACCGTCCCCGCGGTGGCGCTAGCACCCGGCCACATCTGGCCACATCTGGCTGGTGTCGGCACGCAAGGGGTGACTGGTGGTGAGCGAGCCAGACCCTCTAGGAGACGCAGACGGAGAGCGATCGCATTAGGGTGCTAATGACTGTGAAACCTGGTTGACAGCGAATTGTCCTCCGTGGGGAGACGGCCTGATCGCAGTCATCACGGTGCATCACACGGGATCTCAGCTCCGAGTCGGCGTGCCGCCCCCGTCCTCTGTTCCAGCTCCTTCTTTGTAGCGACACACGACTACATTCTCACACTCACCACGTGGTGACCGCAGGGGACGGAGGAGAGCTCACCTACCAGTATCTCAGCTAACAGCGGCGCTTGTCCATCCCTTGGGAGTTCGCCCTAGCCTTGCCCGGGCCTTGTAAATGGTCCCTTTTAAAGGCTTTCTTTATTCCTCCCTTTTGACTATGTACTAGTATACCATCCGCTGCCTGCTGGGTATCAGCCACGTGTAAGAAGTGGGGGAAACTCCTTAGCAAGGCAGTAAGGGCCTGTCTGACCTCCTGTCCTGACTTCGCCCCTGTGTTTGCAGAGCCTGAATTTCATCCAAGGGAAGTGAGTCCCTACTTCGCGCACCTGTTCCCACTGTGTGCTCTGGTGCTTTCCCATGGGCGGCCTGCCGGGAAGCGGTCAGCGGCTGGCGCCACACGAGCCCTGACGTGCAGTGCCTGCCAATGCCTGTGGTGTAAACACACCCGCCATGACACCTCCATGCTCCTAAAATGTCTCGGAACTTGGAATTGGGAAGAAAAGCACACCGTTGGCCAGTAACCCCTCCCAACCCTGTTCACCCCCACCCTC